GGCGTTCTACAACATGTGGAAGATCTGGATGCGCCGACATCCACGATCGATCACTTCACAAGTGGTTGACCAACTCCCGAGAACTGCCCACCCACCCACGCCCCGCCCGCGAGTCGACAAACGAGCAAGTGGCATGGGTCAATAATAAAGAGGGTGTATCACGACCCGTATTTAATTAAAAAATTACGGCAGAGCGCCCAGCGAAGTCCAATACAAATGCCTGAGGAAGCGCAAGCGCCGAATGCCTCATCCGGATAATGATTATTTGGAGAATTTTCATTAAAATGGACTGGGCGCCGCGGATCGCTGCATGGGTCTACGTGCGTATAGCACTTGGAACATAGCTTTTTACGGCGCACGAAGATAGCTTATGCATGAACAAGCATTTACCGTATCGATAAGGCTTCTAAACGCGCGAAATGAGTTACTACATGCTACGTATGTCCGCAAATAGTGCCAAGTTGACCTGGCCTCGGATACACAAACATAAATATGAGGGTGACCGAGAGTCCGTCCCAAAACGAGACTTTGCACGCACTTCTAACACATCGTCGTGGATGTGTGTGCGAAGTTTCGTTCCCAACAGAGCTCCCACACACCCCCATTTACGTTGCCAAAGACAACAAATACTATGATTTTGGACAAAATGGACTCGTAAACATGAGAATGGGGGTGACCGAGAGTCCGTCCCAAAACGAGACTTTGCACGCACTTTTAACACATAGTCGTGGATGTGTGTGCGAAGTTTCGTTCCCAACAGAGCTCCCACACACCCCCATTTTCATCGCTACGACAAATTCTGGATGCGTGTATTTAGTCAACATATCAGTGATTGTCAGGCCTTGTGAGCGCTGGCTGTCGAAAGCTATTCTTGTATATTACAGTGTTTTCGTTTTTGATACAGTGGATGCCAAAATCCTGTGTGGAGCCGGTTTCCTCACCGAACCCAACAAATGTATTGGGCAAACAACTGGAGCCTCAGCCGCAGGATTCGCCGATTTTTGTATGGCGTGATCAGGGATGGTGAGTGAATACCAGTTGAGTCGCGTTACCGACTCATGAGTCGATTCACTCAGAGTGAATCGCTATTCACTCAGGCACCTTGTTGAGTGAGTGCTTATGAGTGGGTTGAGTCACCCACTTCGAACCCCGGGATGGCGTGGCATTTTAGCGTATTTAAGGCGCATTTAATATCCGGAATTAAAAGCAAGACATCGCTAGACCGCATGATGCGTCATAGACACAACAGTTGAGATTTCAGAATGGATCCTTGCCAATTCTCTACAAAGTGCACTGGACGGCAATTGTCGGGTGTACGAATGGCTGAGGAGGGAACGCACGCGTGTGCCTTCAGCAAAGACCCAACCAAATTTGTTCCATGGCGACCATCAACGCTTCCAACGTTTCCAACGCTCCTGTGTCGGCCAACGCTCCAATTCTCGAAGAGATCAAGGACCGGACCTCATGGGTTTGGGAGCATTTCGGCAAGTACGAGCGTGTGCCAAGCGAGAACGACAAAGCCGCCGTTTACGACTACGTATGCCGCGTGTGCCTGAGCAACAAGAGTAAGTTTAGCGACTGTATCGTCGCCCTCTACGAGGGGAGTGCGTCGAATACGCTCCGCCATTTCAAGCACAAACACCCGTCCCTCGTCCCCAAGGCCAGCGTGCGCAAGGCTGCTCCACAGAAGCCGGCCAGCAACAGTACCGAGAAGGCCAGCAATGTTGGCCGGAAGCAAAGTGGAACCTTGGATGGCTACCTCTTCAGGAGCGTGTCTTCTCGCTTTGCAAGCTGATCGACTCGCCGTTGCGCCAGAACCTCGGCGACGTCAAGTTCGAGATGCTACTTGTTCTGGCCTTCAACAAGGAGTTCATTCGGTCCGAGACCGACGACGCCACGCTGGCCGATGCCCTCGAGTCGACAACGTCTGCTTCGCAAGCTGCTGCGACGCTCGTCAACTTGTTCGACCTCGACGCCAACAACGATGAGACCGAGTCGGGCATCAACATCGCTGAAACACTTGGTACAGCGGAGGTTGATCCTACGCATGCGCGGGCCAAGAAGCGCAAACATTGTAGCGTTGAGTAGGCCCTGAGTCGGCTCCGAGTCACTCAGAGTCGTGAGTCAACTCACATCAATAAATTTTGAGTCGTGAGTGAATACGTATTCACTCATTACGAAAATGGCCCATACTCACCATCCCTGGGCGTGATACACCCTCTTTATTATTGACCCATGCTGCCGCGGCGGCAGTCACTTGACGATCTTCATGCACCCGCGCGCTAACTGCTCCGTCTTCCTCGCGCAGGCGCTGACGGTGCCGACGCTCAGGC